ATACTCTACCTATCTCTATTCATCAAATCTTCTCTCGTATCTTTAAACAAAATATATTCCTTCATCTACTACTAAATCAAACAACTACACTAATGTAAGTTATATTAATTTCTATGACAATTACTACTTAATATTGGAAAAGTAAACACTAAGTCTGGCAAAGTACTTAAAATCAAAGTATTTTAATAATTCATATTCTTTTTGCCAGGAATAAATATTTTTTTAATTTATTCATCCTGCAATTAAAATTACATGTAATTTTAACATGAGGTTAAAAAGATGCTTGCACAGTCCTATAGGTTCTGTGCAAGCATCTTCATCTTGCCAAGAGTTTTTATTATTTTTTCAATGCCCAACACCGTGATGATGATATTCTATTATAGGTCTACTTCTGGCTCTTTTACCATTCGGTTGAACTTCCGTTATATATATATTTTTTTTGTTATTGTCTGCATTCATATATGTCACAAACATTTTAGTTGTCTTCTATGAAGGTGGTTTTCAATAATGATGTGGCCATCTGATCCCTTGTCTTCTTATTTCATTTCCATGTCAGTCAGACAGCTCATATGCCAATTTAATATTACCAGATTCTTCGAGCCTTATAGCAGAGTCAGTAGATAAACAGCTTTAAACATGTGGAGCCTTGACCTGAATGGTGATCTCTTTCTTGCCTATTATGTTATTGTATATTTGGTTGTAGATTTTATTTGGTTTTGCAATTATACTTGATACTTCTTTGTCTACAGTGGCTGTATTGCAAATTATCATACCTAAACATGAGAATTTGCCAACAACTTTGAGTTCTTCTCAGTTACAAAACTATATTGTCTTCTTTCTAAGGGATCACTACAATTTCAATCGCTCTTCTTGCTATTCCATAGGGCCCATTGTAATTTGTCTTTATTATCAGAGATAAAAACAATATCATCTGCAAATAAAACAGGAAAACAGGGGTTAGAGACTATATATTTCCTATACCCCATATTGGGCCTCCCTTCTGCGGTAGAGAAAAATTTGAAATTGTTCTATTTATTCTTACAATACCGTTAAAGTCTTGGTTTCTTGATTTGACTGCTTAAATTAAGAGAACAAACACATTCTTCATAAACAACATGTTCTTCTTAATTCTACATTTTTTGGAACAAAAGTGGCTGTCTTCCCCTGTCCTTGTGTTCAAGGCTGTAGTGGGCTGGACTCACTATTTTCCAACTATTAGTATCTATAATGGTTAACCCTAACCTATCTGAAAAGAAATTTTGAGTAAACTATTTATTTAAGTATAAACAGTCTTAACTAAGAGCAGCAATCTGCAAGCAGTAGGCAAGATAATCACATAACATATATATAGACTATGTTTCACCTTAAAAAAAAAAATTATGGTAATGTCTACTATAATATTAATTTTAATAAAAAAAAAAAATATTTCGTTAATAATTTAATCACTAACTGATATATGATAAATTTATGAATCACTATTCTATTAGTTACAGATTAGGATCAACTACCTATTATTAACTGAATGAAGCAGCAGTTTGCTCGCCAATAACTACCTTTTTGTATAATTTTATTAAGTACCAAAAAGCCCCTTTGGTATAGTACAAAAATAAAACTCACTTAGGGATAGACCAAGCTTGTGCGAGCTTCAAAGCCTTCATGTTCTTCTCCTTTTATTTAAATTATCAGATTATTATTTTTACCTACACAAAATTTAAAATTTGTCATGAATGTAATTTATACCCTCAGGTTTAACTTTAAGAAGATAAAGGATTAATAAACATCACTTTATGCAACCTTTCTCTGCGATGGTATGGAGGAACTGAAAAATCTGTCAACTTGGGTTGACAGGTTCCGAAATTGTAGAGGATTGAGATTAAATATAGATAAAAATTACCAATATTGTGACCAGAGAATTAACAACATATTTAGCTTTGGTTTAATTGTTAATTAATATGAATTATAAGAAAAAATAAATTATTTTCTCATGTATTACCTCAGGCATTACAGGAGGAGTCTGAAGCCATTAATGAATCATCTTTTGGGCCTAGCTTTAACATGTTGCTTTTGGCATACTTTATAATACCAATGTATGTGATAGGGTATCCTCCATTGTGATATTATTTATTACCATAATGCCTACTTTTTTAATATACTATGTTCCAAGATTTGGGTACAACTAAAATTTAAATCTAATTTTAAACACTGATATTAAAAAATTCACATTTACTATTAATGTCACTGATGGAGGGAATTAGTCTAGCAAGAGAGCCTTGTAGTCCTGCTTCACACATAGAAAGCCTTCACTATTGTCTATACATTATGTTTACAATTTATTATTACTTATTTGAAATATATTTGAGTATTTAGCAATATATAGAAAACAAACTGTGGTATTTTTAATTATAAATTTCAGATTTTTATTTTTATTGCCGATTATAAAACTATGACTTTCTTTATTATAAATTGATGCACAATTTTTTATAGGAGAGATCAAATTTATCTTTCCTCTTATTACAGATTGATATATTGTTGACTGTTATTTTAAAATTAATAGGTTGACAAATAGTCAGGATTTTCAGTCTATATAGGGTTTCAATTGGGCAAGTTGGCTTGCCAGCAGCTTCAAAATTCTTTTCCATAGTTTTCTTTATGTCATTCTGTTCATCAATGGATATATTCATCTGACCATGTAAATACAAGAACTAAGCCTTAGATCCTTAGGTTAAAACATTGGCACGCCTAATAAACTCTATGTAGACTTCCAATCTTGGCTATTTATCATTCTCATAATCTGAAAATAACAGTCAAAAATGTATCCATCTCTAAATAATTTAAATATTTACACATCAGAAATATGAGCTCTTCTCTCTCCCCAACTGTAACACCACTTTTCAAGATATCACTAGATTTACACCTCAGCTTGACCCATTACAGTCTCCCTAATGTAATCACAACAGGGTTTTACATACTTTGATGACCCTCCTTTTTAACACAAAAAAACAACTTTTTCCACTACAATCTGACTTGTCTTCACCATTTTCGTCACTTCACTCTGACTGCATGTACAAGAATTGAGCACTGATGATGATCCATATGCTTGAGTCGAAACATTGCCAAGCCTAATAAACCAAATATAGATTTTAAATCCTGCATATTTAAGCCATTGTCATTTATTGTACTTATCCTTATTTAAACTCTGCCCGTCTTTATGAACGATAAACATAAAATAGATGTATTTTTAATGACATATCACTAACATTTGTTTTCTTTAACCTCGATTAAATATAGCCATTTCCTTTGTAAAATCAAAATATTTACGATACCTGGGATAATAGGATAATTGTTTTTATTGATAGTTCTAACTAACTACGAGAATAATTGCGTAAAACAGGTTTGCTAATATTTCATATTAGAAATAGTTTTATTGGTGAGTCATGTTTGGTGGTTGAAACTCAGATTATTTCACTGAGACACCCACTGTGTAACATTCTTTGTTCTCCATTGCAAATCGCTTCTAAGACACTCTTACAGCAACTTTTGTTTTATTATTGTGAGTAATAGAGTAGTAAGGATATTTTGGAGCTTTTTTGAACATGGAGACAGAAAACAAAAATATGAAAGATTTTTCTAGCAATAAAATCAATTTCATGTATGGCGATCCAAATATAAATAAACAGTAAATATATACAATTATTTACTTGCCGTTACTCAACTCAACATCTGAATTCTATTTGTATTTCCTATTAAGAATAATGGTCAGTCTTCGGAACTAAAAAAAATCGTATGTTACGATTATAATTATAAATTTTATTAAAAACAAATGTAATTTTATTTTCATGAATTTTGCTAAGAATTTCAAAATGTAATTCTATATTATATCAACTTTACAACCGGAACTTGAACTAATGATTGAAGAAAGTTCAGGCCAAGAGTAATTATTATGAAACTAATCAAAGAAACATTTTGTTGTTTATTTCCAAGGAGACTAATATAAAACCCAGAAGGAACTGTAGCATTTGCCAAACCAATTTACAATGAACGTGATAAAGTATCTATTAAATGTTAGAAGCCATTATGTGAATAATTTATTACCCAAATCAAATCAATTTTATCACATAAGACTTATTATTTTACAAATTAAATTCAAACAAAACTTTTTGTTTTGTTTGTTCTAGTTTTGTTTAATTTTTTTTTTTTATGTCACGGATTTTTAAAACATAACTTCATACTTCAATTTCTTACAATAAATGTTCTGAGAATGAGAAAGCTCCTAAACTTACCAGTAAGCTCATGATATCAGATCTGTCTCTAAACTGGTTGAAACACAGCAGTGAATTCACGAACTTCCTCAATACAATATACTCTTGATATATGTTTGATTTAAAAAAACAAACAAACATATTTATGAGCATATCTGTCAGGTTGCGGTTTCCATACAATTTATAGTGTATATTTTAGGAATTCATACGAAGATGATTTCAACTTTAAACAAACTTCAAATATGATGCAATAAAACTTCTCATTACTATTATTAATTACTTTAATTCAAACAATCGATCATAACAATTTTGCATTCTCTAGATTTCCAGTAATTTAAGTTAGTTAAATTCCAGTAAGTTAGTATGGATTATATTAAACTAAATGAAATAAAATTATTTGATCCTAAATATAAATGTAATTAAAAAATTGAAATAAAATTAAAACGACACCATATTAATGGTGAAATTATGATAGTAGTATCAAGTCTGGTCAACAGGTAGGACAGTCAAAATCATATTGATCACACATAGGTATTCTGAAACTAGTTGAGTCTTATCTGAAAGTTCACCATGAAGACTGATATCAAAATAAGAGAGTTAATAAAGAATAAAGAATACTATAATAGTTGAAAAAAACACTTACTAATTAATTTGGCAGGAAAAGAAGTTAAAGAGGTAAAAAATAAAAAAGGATTCTATATACGACGGCTGATTTAGTAAAAAGAAATTACTAACACAAAATATTAAAAAACAAAACAAAATTTATTAAAATAATATGAGTACATACTCACATTTAACAGATCATAAATAGAGCTTTCCATAGGAAAACATTGTAATATCACACATTTTGGTAACATTGTTTTAGGTATAAAAAATTTGTCATTGAATAATTTGACAAGTGAACACATAAAACTTTTAAACTTTGTAAACTTGAAAATTAAAATCATTAAGAACCTTTCAGCCCTTTTTGCTTTTGCAAAAGTCTTTGTTGTCTTGCTGCTTGCAATAAATGCTTTTCTTCGTCAATTTCTGCTTGAGTAAAAACTGCTTTAATACCTAAAGCACCTGAGACCATCCTTCGAGCTGAAGCTGAGCATGTTTTCGGCCTTGGAGGAGGTGGTGGAGGCAATAGCAATTTAGCTTTGTCTTTGGACTGTGGTATACCTTCATTTAAAATCCTAGTTTTTAGAAAAGGCAAATCTGTATTCAATACCTCATACGCAATTATTTCAGAAGGGTATATTCCTAATGCATGGGTGTCATCAACCCATCTTATCCTCATCCCTCTTGCAATATATGATGAAAATATTTCACGCAAATCAGAAGTTTTGAATTCTGCAGGAAAATCATATATTTCTAAAATACAGTTTTCATTAATTTCTGTTGCTCCATATACCTCATTTCCTTTGGGTGTACACAGAGTTTTGGTATTTTTAGATTCCAAATTTTCAGTCTCACATAATTTTACCCATAGACTTCTGAATATCCGATTTTCTTCTTCAGAGTTAGATGTGTCATTCGATTGCTCATTTAGTGATACAGGAGTTTTTTCTTCAGTCTCTTGAGGAGTATTAAAAGTAGATTTGTGAAGGTCAGCCTTTACTGTGCTCTGCTTGACAGAAATATCATTTTTACTGTTTAATACATTAGAAGTACGAAGGCAATCACTGTCTTTTAGAGTTTCAATTCTACTTAATGCAGAATTATTACTTTGGCAATTTTTTTCTTTAAGTTTCTGGTCATCACAAGCTACACTTAACTTACTTAAGTTCAAAGTAACAGAGAGATCATTTGAACAATTACTTTTAACATAATTCGTTGCACTTTCTTTAACACTTCCTTTTAATGGTGATGAATTACAGCTGTGGGAACCACACATTTTCATTTCTGTGGAATATTTCTGTCTGTTGACTATTTCTTTCTCTTCAGTTCTAACCTTAACATCTTTTTTATCTTTTAATTCCTCCTTTTTCGTAACTTGTGAAAGATTTTCAGCCTTACGTGCAGGAGGAGGAATATATACATTAAAATTTTGTCTGCACTTCTTAATTTGTTTTCCTTGACTCATTTTGGTAACCTCCACTTCAAAATAACTAACTAACAACAGCTGTTCCGTGACCAGTGTTGCCAGGTCAATCCTGCGTTTTCTCCCAAATTTATCTAAATTCTCTCATAAATCCAGCAATATTAACCGAAAATGTTTAATTATTATTTTCAATAAATATGAACTTATTATCCTCGATGAGAAAACATATAATTAAGATTAATATAATTTTAATTTTAAAAATATGTTAGTTAAATATTGTATTTAATATTACTTAAATAATTTTTACTCGATGAGGTTCAATTTAAATTAGGTTAATTAATTAAAAAAAGCAAATGTAAAACGATTCAAAATATGATAAACCAGATATCCTTATATATTATTTTTTAAAGGTGTATTTATTGTTGCTGTTGCTATGTAATATCTTCCTTCATTATTCATCAAATCCAATTATTTAGGTATAATTATACCATTATTATTTTCAATTATGTTGTTCCAATAATATTGACTGTTAAAAGGAGCCTTGGAGGACCATTTCTAAGGTTTGTAATCTCGAATCATTATCGAATTTTGTCAATATATTGACCCCTTAGGGCAAGAGTCCCAAGTATTTTTCTACTTGTAGAAAAATGAATACAATTGTAGTAAAAAGTATTTGCATGTCCTGTTTTTATAAGATTTGTTAATGTAATGAAATATAAACTCCATTCAAATGTATAAAAGTAAAGAGTATATTAAAAATTAAAACATTCCATGCGTATACAAATATAAAACCTTTTTCTTCTTTCGCCTCATCCTGTTGTGCCTATCAGCATGATTACAGAATCATTGCCACTGTTCTGTATTTCTTGCCAGATTCCTAGGTTGATGTAGATCTTTTCCTCTCCTTTTGCACATACAGTCGACGTATTCCTCGTATGACGTCCGTGGTCGGCCTTCTAGACCTTCTGCTATCAGTGGAATAGACCATTTTCAGGAAATATCGGTGTTCCTCCACCCTGACAACATGGCCGAACCACTTTGGCTGGTAAACCTCGACGACCTCCTTCACCGAAAGGACTCCTAGTACATCTCTGATCCTCTCATTGCGAACGCAGTCTATTCTTGTTTTTCCAGAAATTCTTCCAAGAAACCTCATTTCCGCAGTGTAGGGGAATCAGAACATTATATTCCTATTTTATAAGAATTCTCTTCACGTTCACTATATCTATCCCTCCATACTTTAAAATTTCTCCAATTATGTCATCTCGTTTTATTTTGGGGGCTAAACATACCACGGTACTAGAAAAATATAAAATAACGATGTTCGGAACCATCACAGAGGGCCTCTCAATCATTCTAAGGCGAAAAAAAAGTACAAAACATTCATGTTGGGATCCATCCTATAGAGTAGCAAAAATTTGCGGAAATAAACGAATACAAAAAATAGGCACCGACTTAGTTAACCTGTAATAGTTTTGAGTGCACGATTTTTTATTACATCAAGTTTTCAACAGTTAATGCAGAAGCTCAATTCCGTATTCCATTGCTGGTCTCACATAAGTCTCGCAGGTGAATGCAAGCAAGTCATGAGAGGCTTCCCACTAGGTTTCCGTTCAGTACACCCAATCTTCTTTCTTTCATTCTTTTCAGCATACCCAATCTTTTGGCTCCTTTTGATGTTCAACTTTCAACATGTCCATTCCATGAAAGACGTGAATCACAGTTTGTCTACTTTAATATATTATCTTTACTTGATAGTGAGACATAGAATCTCTTAGTCAAAAAATTAAAAAGCTAGCCATTTGCAACATTTAAGGTAGATTCGGGAGCAGAAATATCGCCAAAGTTGCCCATATAGCCAAGTCATCCGCGTATAGCAACACATTGACCCTTGGGATCGTGGAAACCGATGTGATTACATCATCGATCATAATGTTAAAGAAGGCTGGTTTAAAACGTAACTCTGCGGAACATCGTTTGGATTATTATTATGTTCACGGAGGGCGGAGAGGCATTTTTTGAAAATTATATGAAATTTGAGATAACACACTCACTTAGGGAGAGAATCACTTATCATAAAAGGCGATGTCCAATTACATTGAGTTGTTTCAAACACAGCATACTTATTAATCACTACAGACAATTTTTTAAAACTAATATACAACTAGTAGGCCCGTGCGAAAAATTCGCACCGCATATTGTTATCAAATGCCAAATTAATAAGAAAATGCAACTTATCAAAAGATTAAGACATCGAATGTTACTTTATCGATAAATATAACCCACAAAGCAAACAAAAATTAATTTAAATCTTCATTTTTGTTTGGAACCAACATGTATACAAATTTCAGTAAGCTGTACATTTGCTAAAAATTGTCCTATTGCGATGATTTTTTTCTTTTGTAGGAAATTTAGTAATCTTTCATATAATTATGGGCATAACCCGGGTCTTGCTGTACGCATCAAAATCTTTAAGATCCAATTTGTCCCGAATCGATCTACAGACCTACCACCGTTCCAGTATTGAAGCCTAGCAAAATGTTTGTATCTACTTTATTTATTTTAGAAAGAAAAACAACAGTGGAAAATACGATTCGCTAACCCCCCGTGAAATTCTGAATCCAACGGTACCCCATTCGTGGTATTTGAGCATGACAGGAGCTTATATTTGGTACAAAACCGATTTCGAGCCTTACTGTAATAATATATGTACGGATTATATTAGAACTAATACTAATATAACAATATACACTGACAGGCAAAAAATTCCACCCACTTGATTTTTTCATGTTTTCATGTAAAAATATTTCTGTTTTGGATTGGTCTGTTGTTTTTAATGAATAAACAGGTAATCTTTTTGTTTGTTTTCAATTAGGAATGTTAATATAGAGGACAGTTACCCTTAATCCTTAATTCAATGAAATGATTCTAGATTCCAATGTTTACTTTCTATGGAATCAAAATGTTTATTCAGTATCATTAGTTCAGTGACGTTTCTTGCAGCACATTTCTTTGTCTCCGGCTTTTATTTTTTCAATATTAAGTTTAAAAATGCCTATTAGTGCTGAGGATGTTGCGCGTGGTGTGGCACTTATTGATGATGGACGTTCCATTAGATATGCAGCTAATACTATCGGAGTTCCATACGAGACGCCGTCAGGCGTTTTCGGGAAACTGGTTCTTATAATAGAAGGCCCGGTTCCGGACGGCCTAGTGTAACAGAACCACGGGATAACCGTTTTTTGACTTTAAGAATTTTACGAAACCGGCACCATACCGTTGTTCAAGCGATTCATCAGCTCGAAGAAGTTCGAGGTATGCAAATTTCTGAACGTACCGCTCGGAGAAGATTAAATGAGTATAAATTAATGGCTTTTCGTCCAGTAAGAGGACCAGAACTCACAGAGTAACACGGCTGGCTTTTGCTCGAAAACACAGCCATTGGATTATGGACGAATGGAGTGCTGTACTTTTTACAGATGAGTCAAGATTCGCTCTTCGATCTCCAGACGGGCGGAAAGGGTGTGGAGAAGAAAAAACGAAAGATATGCAGCCTGTAATTTTTCACAGAGCCAAATTTTCCAACGTGGTTTCTTAATAATGGTGTGGGTTGGGATTTCAATGGAGCGCCGCACAGTATTGGTTGTTGTTCTTGGAGGTTCTTTGACGGCCATTCGCTATGTAGATGAGTTTTTGGAACCTCATGTGTTACCTATCCTCAACGAAATCGGCGATCGTTCTATTCTAATGCACGCCCACATGTCGCCCGGATAGTGCAGACGTTCCTTCAACATAACAACATTGAGGTTTTAGCCTGACAAGCACGTTCTTCAGATTTGAACCCCATTGAGCATTTATGGGATAACCTCGGAAGACGAATAAGAGCGCGTGCAACACTTTCTGATACATTGCAGGACCTTGAAAGGGCTCTTCGGGAGGAATGGTCTATCCTCCTCTTGGCGTCTTCAAGAAGTAGTGAAGGCAAGAGGAGAAAACACGCGCTACTATACGATGATGTAATTAATTTCTTTTAGAATAATAATGGTTCGTTTTTCAATTTTCGTTTTCTCTAATCTTTCTTACCCAAACACATTTTGATTATTAAAGGTAAAAAAGATTATAAAATTGCATAAATACTAAGTATTATCTACAAATACCCTGTATTATATACAAATACAACTTTTTTTACAAGTGGGTGGAATTTTTTGCCTGTCAGTGTATATGAGCATAGTACACAATATTTATATATATATGATGCCTATGCTCCCATTAAAATCTCGACCTTTCGTTGCATCCCCGGCTCCCTGGATGTGTCAGCAAATTAAAGATCATCAGAAGAGACGTGATGCTGCCCGCAGACGCTTTAGACATACTAGGCTCACTGACGACTACCAAGCGTTTAGGGTGCTCCGTAACCTGACACACACCAAAATCCAACGAGCCAAATCCGCCTATTTCCACGAAGCCCTTTCATTAGCTCCTGATTCCAAAACCAAATGGCTACTCCTTCGTAAACTCTCCCTTTGTGAATCTTTCAGGTCACCTTCATCAGCAGTCTTTCCAGTCAACCCTGATGATTTAAATTCATATTTTATATCAGCTTCCTCTTCCATTCCTCCACCAACCTCTTCCTTCTTTACTCCTGGAATATCATTTAACGACAACAACTTTTTTTTTTCAGATATTTCTCCTACAGACCTCATATCCGCCGTGATGAAATCTCATTCCAATTCGATTGGTCCAAATAGTATTCACGTCAAATTAATCAAATTGTGCCTAACTGAAATCCTTCCCGCTCTCCTTTTCATCTACAATTTCTCCCTTCAGAACGTAATATTACCTTTCTCATGGAAAAAAGCCATTGTCCGTCATTTACTTAAAAATTCTAACCCTTCTTTCCCTGAAGATTACCGTCCAATCTCAATCCTTTCTAACCTTGCAAAACCTCTAGAACGAATAGTCCAATCACAAGTTTCCAATTTCCTAGAACAGTACAATCGACTTGACCCTTACCAGTCTGGTTTTCGACCAGGCTACTCCACACAATCCGCCCTAATCAAAATTATTAGTGGTGTTCAGTCGGACATA